TGAAGTCCTGAGTCAACTGCCTATTACCTAATTCTTAGAAGACAATGGAATTCTTATTTTTAACAGATTCATGACTAGCAGTGTAAGGAGATTGCTATATTAACTTACACCGCATGTCAAATATTGCAATAACTTGTGTTGATAAGCGACATACTGTTGTAAAATCAATAGCAATATCGAAAAAAGAGTGTTTTGTGTAAAATGAATACTATTTTAAGCTATTTTGTGCGTAACAAGAAAAAATTCCCAACTCTAAATTGTCAAATTTTCTGAGAAAATATATATGAATCTGTTCATCTAGGATTGCGGAATAGTGAATAATTTAACTGCTAATATTCTATACTTACTCAGTCAAAACTGAAAAAATAAACGAAATGTAGCAATACAGCGCTAAATGGCTCTTTTCCAAATTTTCAAAACACAGTTTTGAAAGTCTGGAGTGTCACCAAACTGACCGATTCATACGAAAATATAAAATTATAAATGAAGAGAACCAAATCTAAAAATCCATAGCTTGGCTGGTAATACATAATAACTTAATGAGAAAAGATGAGGAAAATTGATGAAATTAAATCTTTGGAAAGTTAGGCAAGTTCTTGAAGTCTTGTATTTTAAACTGAAGAAACATCTCTCAAATACCAATTCTTCGCCTTGCAAATAACACACAGTTTATGTGATAATAAATACTTTAACTACTGATTAAATGTAATAGGATGAGATGAAACGTTTCAAACTATACACATGGGAAATTTTGAATCATATTAGCATTAATATGACACTACTTTGAAGTTTTTAATATTACTACTGTTCGATCGTTCTTCTTTCACTATAAAAATTACTGCAAGCGCTTTCTCAAATGTGTAATGTGTGATTGTAAAACGTGTGAATGTAAAATTATTTTGCTAGTTTGTAGGGTTTATATTTATTTTAACTAACATTTATTTTAAGTTTAAACTATCTTTCCTGTCAAGCCTTACTTTCCCCTGGAATTGCCAATGCCACAGAATGTAAATTTTAGTAGAACGCGCAAGGATTCAAATTGTCAGCGGAAGTAATCTGAGTTAAATAGAAGGGAAACGAGTTCGAAAGTGTGCTTTCTTGCTTCACGAGCGTGGAGGTGGCTAGTTAGAAATTGAAGAACCACGCGTTTCGGCCTGTGTGCTTGCCTCGGCAGATTGTTAAATCGTTCAACATAATATTCAGAAGTTTGCTGAATTATCAGCGGTATCTTAGAACGCGGTTAGGTTAGTTACGTTTAGAGAGCCTCGTAGTTAGTCACTTGTTATTATTCTTTTTTTAGTTTCTTATTTTTATTTTACCGCCGGGTCGGCGTAGTTTGTGAGCGTCAAGAGCACGCATTTGTAATTTCTAAAGTTGAATAAAAAGGGATTTAAACCCTTCTCAAGACATTGTTTACTTTTCAGTTCTTAGCAGTCACCACTATTGTTGCGTGGCATTATATAAAATTGTTAAGACGATTTAATGCTCACATGTTCCAAAACTATTTAGAAAGATAGATTAAACAGTTCTTACAATGAGCTTTAGTTTAATCTCAAAAACCACAAATGAGGATGTAGCGTTTGGGTGGAAACCACGCGGTCTACTTTCAGAATTATACATTGAAAGGAAAGTTTACAAGATTTAGATAAGAGTTTGGAGCAACATGTCGGAAGATCTGAAAATAACTTATTGCCATAGGTACGAAAGCTATCAGTCCCTCTGTTGTACACTATCTGTCGGTCCACTTCTGTTGATGCCCTACAGCAACAGCTCTATAGCATAAACATCTTCCTCTCTATTATCGTAATGGATCCCTTGAAGTGGCTTGTTTATTTTTTCAAAGAGATCATAGTCAAACGGATTCAAATCGGGTGAGTGTGGCGGATGTTCTGTCGTAAGAGATCTGTAACAGTGCTCACCTTATGACACCGCTCAAGCTGATGGGATTCGTCACCAAGAAGTGCTATATTGCTTTCTCTTGACTGATGGATATAGCTGATGTAACAGTTGAGACATCTCGTCATCCTCCGCAACAATTCGTGGTGTCATAATACAAACGTTGTGACTGCGGAAATGCAAGAAACTGATGCTGTCACTATGCTCACCCGATATTAGTCTGTGTGATTGTGATTTTTTCACCAAAATGAAATCTATTGCAATATTACAGTAGGTTACTACAATATAGAGAGAGTTATACGTCCTCGAGGTCGACCCCTGCGGCACATCAACGGAAGAAGATTTGTTGACACATCAACGGAAGAAGATTTGTTGATGCTTTCCAAAAATTTAGCACAAGATTTTAGACATGGTGGGGGATTGTAATTATTTGTACCAAAGTTAACAAAGTGTTTTCCGAACTATCGAAATGTTATCACTACCTTGTATCCAGCTCTGGTAATTGATATAGAGAAGATTATAAATTTGAAAAGTGGCATTATATAAAATTGTTAAGACGATTTAATGTTCACATTACGAAATTAATATCCATTTTATTTCAAACATCTTTTATAAAGCACACATGCGAAGTGCTGAAATTAATTCTATTTTTGATTAATTCTGCTCTCGAATTAATAAACAGGCAAGAATTACGCACACCTGAGTTTTTCATTTGAAATTAAATAAAAAAAATCTAAAAGTTCTTCAGATTTTGTATTCAAAGGGGATTTTTTAACGTTTTTTGTGTTACCTTTATTTATTAAATATGTCGTTCCTTAACCAATAAAATTCAGTTCAACAGCAGTATCCCAAATAATTTAAAAAAAGCACATCTTCAGAATTTACGATACACAGTCTCACGCGCTTGAGATAATTTTTTTTTTTCGTGCATTGTACATTCCGTACATTGCTAGCTTTGGAATCGTTGAGTTTGGTTATCAAAAACTCATACATGCTTCACAAAATAGGAGATCGATAATAAAACAAATTTCAGATTCCAAATTTGGGCTTCCAGAGGATTACGTTATTCAAGATTTGATGGCTCTAGGTACCGTTGTTTTATCACAGTGGGAAAAACATACGTACATTTATGCACATTCTTCGTTATTTCATTTCCTTAAATATAATACAAGGCGATAATATTTGGTGGCAACAATTTGAAAAGTGATACGCCGTTTATAGTGATTCGACGCAAAATGCCAAAGCGAAGTTAATAACCCTGCTGGGCTAATTATTGTAACATATGCATAATTAAAGAATATTATTTTTAACATTTAAGGTTAGATTATTCATCCGTAATTAAAGCTTATAATGTATAAATTAAATTACATAATTTCTGTGAACACTATCTAGAATAGCTTAATCGGAGCATTTACGTAGTTTTCGGGCTAATAATACTGTTACGTTATTTTCTTCGTTCACGTTCGTAGATTTGGAGTGAATAACGACGACACTGGATGAAGTATCGAAACGCACTTTATTTAGCCAATATTAATCAGGACAGCTAACACGTTTTCACAATTGTGGACGAACTACTATAAACACGCTGACACAATCAGCGACACAGCCTTCAGATTATCAGGCTATCACGGTGGAGACAGCTTCACTGCACAGCACCAGAGTACAGCTCCCGACTCTGCTCGGTCGCTCTCGGAGCTCCACGTACTCTCGAGAATCTCCACGCTACAACTCGCGATGCACTCGACGACACACAGAGCACGCTCCCGACTCTTCGGTTCAGTCGTTCCCGGAGCTCAACACGCTCTCTCGACGATGCACTAACCACGATACACTAAGAGACTCCTTCGGTGAACTCGGCGACCCACTCTTCACTCGCTGCCCGGCTGTCAACTTGATCGACTCCGCAGGGATTGACTCGCTTGACGAGACGCACACTAACTGACTGCGGACCAGCAGGGTTTATATAGCTTTCGTCTTGTGTTTGAGAACATTCTGGGCTAAACCGGTAAGAATTCGTTCCAGAAGGTTCTCCATCCGTGCATGGCATGTCGCCAATTTTGTGGCCAAATGGACAATTTCTCGCCAAATGTGGCTAGCCTGCCTTCCTTTTCCATTTTATAGCAAACCTAAAACTGCTTTGCGGGGAAGCAATCTTACCGCGCCTGTACATTTCGTAACATTACATAAGAATAATGAAATAATATTTAATGACACTATATGCACCTTTATTAAATGAGTTCAACTGATGTCAATTCACTGGTCAACCTAATAATTAATAATAGAGGTGGGGAACTACGTTTTTTGCTTTGAAACCATTTAGCTAGTTAGTCAGTAACAAAAAGATTGAATCTGAAAAAAAAAAAAAAAAAAAAAAAAAAAAAAAAAAAAAAAAAAAAAAAAAAAAAAAAAATAAATATCTCGCACTTTGCCGAATGGCAACTCACTGCCGTATGGAAGAGAAACATATTTTGTTTCGAGCAATCGGAGCACATTTCTTTCAACTCACAGAGTCTTTTGATTACATTTAGAACATAAATATCTTACGCTTTACACTAGACAAAGTTAGACTAGTGTAACCAAACGACGACCCATCGCTCTTAAGTTGTTTAATTCATTAATTAAAAATTCATTAAATTTAAACGAATGATATGAACTAACGAAACTAACATGAACTAAATGCAAAACAAATTCAAAATTCAGCCTTTGAAGTGTACGTGTTGTGGTAGAGAATAATGAGCCTTCCGAGACTAGTGGTTTTAGGTTTCGCTGTTTTTCCACAGTGCGAGGTACATACATAATATACATGTATATATATATACACACACACACGAACACACATACACACATGCATACTTACATATATAGATATAGACAGACAGATTCTTCCTTATTTAATAGAGATTACAGTTTTATTATGTTTTATCCAACTTTGTTAAACTTGAAAGTTATTAGATAAAATCCTTGGAACCATTTCTGCTTTTTCAGCAACATATTTTTGGCCTATCTATAAAGTAATGAGTTCATTTCCTATTTGAAAGATTGATTACTTTTTCTCCTCGTGTAACCTTGCTACTAAAGGAAATGGTCTGCGATTGGCCGTAAGAAAGCATAACGCAAAAATTAAATTTCGGTTCAGTCTATCAGTTTCGTGAGTAGTAGTTACATTGTAAGAATTCATTAATTTGCATTCTTTGCTTACATTCTTGGTAAAAGTATGAAGACCTTTATTCTTCTTTGTATTTTGACTGCTACTGTTGCCAATCAGGGTAAGAAAATTATTTTGTTCTTTACTTATTTATTAAACTGTATGATAAATTTAACATCAGTTGAATTATTACCTGTTAACCGGTATGCCGGATGTTGACGAAAAAGTAAAAATAATTATTAGAGATATATTTTAATTGAGGTTTATCGAGATTTGAGTTTTATATAAATAAAGTGATATAGAGAAATATTATATACTAGGGTTATGTAAATTTCAAATTAGTTAATATTGTTTTCTGTACAGAAAGCATTCGCTCTTCAAAAACGTTAAATATCGTCCTAGGAAAAATGTAAATTAGTATTTATGTTAGCAAATGACTTCTTTATAATTTGTAGAATTCTTTTGCCTAAGTTAAAATAAACAACAGTTGTTTATAATGTTATTTGAAATAACAACTTATTATTTATGTTAAATATTTCCTGCATTTTTAGTATTTCATCTTCTTTGCTAGAAATGCAAATGAAGCGAGATTAAAAAACGAACGGTAGTCTAAATTTAGTCAGAGAGTGTTGGTAAATGAATCAGCCTATCGTATTGAATGTCCTCTCTTGCTTCTTTGTTTCCGTTGCTCTTACCATTTAGTGAGTTTGACTAAAATTACATTAGTTGTCGTGGGGTAGCCAGGTTGTTAGGCTTAAAATTTAAACTTGGTAATAAACCAAAGATTTTCAATAATTTCCATTATTTTTGCCATTATAGCCTGCAAGAAGCGGAAGTTAATATTGTTAGCTTTTCAATTTCTCTTCAAATTCGAACTGAAGCTAAAAAAAGAATGTTTAATTGGATCTTCATTCTGCTGTTATTACTATAGCTTTTTGCATTTAAAGGTAAAAACAGGATAATAATACGTACGGCAGACTAAGAAGTTACACTAGTTAGACAACTGCTTACACTAAGCCAAACTGCGTTTAACTTTATAAGGTTACTAAAAAAGGAAAACACTGAAATGTCACCTTGATGATTATTAAGAAAATCTGCAATGTTAAAATATCAAAAGGAAGCGATTTGCAATGATAAAACGTCATATTTTATGATTATTAAAAATATTTGCAACGTTTCTTGATTTATTTTGAATTATAAAATTGGAGTGAAAGCGCTGGAGCAATTTAAAGTTAAACTTCTTTTTCTAATTCTTTTCTGCATTTATATATATATATATATATATATATATGTTACTGTCAAAGACCGAAATTGGAGGATGTCGACGTTCACCGGAGAATATCAACATTCACCAAATGCGTCGGTGAAAGACCGAATATGCCCACCAGCGGCCGAGCGGTAAAGTCGCTGAACACTGGTAGTTCGGTCCGAGGTTCGAATCCGCGAACGGGCTGGCTGCATGGGTGTTTTCTTGGTTTTCCCCATGTGTAACGTGTATACGAGCCAGTTTCCCTTAGAAAGTCCTCCACGAAAGGCATCCCTTCCCCTAGGCAGATAGCCCTAGTGTGCTTTGCCGTAATTAAATACACAAAAGACCGAATATTTCACTACATTCTTGTATATTCGGACCCTCACCGGTTTATGTCGACAATCACAGATATGCTCTGGTGAAAGTCGAAAAGAGAGGTCATAAAGTGCCATAATAGTTTAAGTTGTTGCAATAAATAAGATTTGAGTCACATAATTTAGTAAGTTTTTTATGACTGTTATTTTATTTTCTCATTTAGAACGTACTGTATAATTAAGTAAGTTTTTAACTTCTATTATTTTCCTTTCTCATTTTGAATGTATTGTGTGTTTTAGGTTCTCATGTTCTTAAGTTCTTATTTCAAGTCTCGGGTGCGTTTATTCGCGACTGAATTACGGAGAAGAAAATATAATATTGTTATATGTTCAACATTCACCATTAGTACATGGTGAATGTCGACATTGACCGACGTAAGTCATAAATAAGAGTATTTGGAAAATATTTCGGACATACACCAAGAGACTATGTGAATGTTAACATTCACCGGTGAAAGTCGACATTCTCCAGATTTCGGTGTTTCACCGTAACATATATATATCTCAATTCAACGTACACGACGATTTTGAGGATTTAAATTAAGAATTTTAAGAAACTTACAGTTCTGTCGTAGCAGTTTTATATCGATATTTTACTTAACAAAATTCTAATAACATTTTTGCATTTTGTTAAAAACAAAACAGAATTTTAAACAATATTTTAAAAGAGATCGAGTTTTGGAATACAATTTTATTTTTTATGTACTATCTAGATTACTATTTTAAATGAGCAAAGCTTATATATATGTATTTCATCTTCAGTGAAAGAACTTGCTTTATCTTTAGTAACCACGTTAAGGGGACTCATATACCTTAAAACCCATAAGATGTTCGAATAGGTGACTGTTGCAAGAATTGGGATAAATTATTTATTTTAAAAGCAATTAATACCAACCTTTTACAGCTGACTACATAATATAGCTGCTTTCCGAAATAGCAATCAGAAAGTTTGTGTTGTTCCAAAACTTTTTATAATTTAATCCGCTTTGTGACAACATTTTTCGTCATGTTTCCACCTTGCGCGCCCAGTTTAAAACATTCTGTTGCATAATTTAATTCCATATTTAACATAAAGCTTTTATAACATTTGGAAACTACTGTGAACCTAAAATTCTCAAAATTTCATGTTAAATTTTTATTTTATCTTGAGTTGAGTTTATAAAATGTATTTTATTAACAAAATTTTTAATGTTTTCGTCCATAAAATTTTTCAATATTAAAATATTCATCAGATTGTTGGTTCATGCCAATTGGTACTGCCCATATAAAGAATTCCATCAAATTTCAAGTATGTACCATTAGCCATTTTTAAAATATCCTGCGCGCAAGGTGGAAACATGGCGAAATATTTTTTCACAAAGAGGATTAAATTACAAAAATATTTGTGGCAACACAAACTTTCTGGTTACTATTTTCCAAAGCAGCTATATTATGTAGTCAGCTGTAAAAAGTTGGAAGTAATTGCTTTTAAAATAAATAAAATATCCCAATTCTTGCAACAGTCACATAATCGAAGATCACAAGGGATTTAAAGTGTATGAGTCCCCTTAAATATGTGGTTTTCTAAAATTAAGATCTGCAACCATTTATAGATGACAAAATTAATGATGAGTCAAAGAAATAGGCATTTCAAGAAAACGAACCAACTTCTTATGAGATAAATCCAACATCGTAACTTTTCTGTTTATTTCCAGATAATTTACGGCTGTGAAAGGTGGGAAAACAGTTAAGGGTATAAGGTGTTCAGTGAAATAACATGAAAACAATAAATTAATTATGTATGAATTTAGTATAAAGAATGGCCTTTTATATCCCTTAAAAGCTAACATCACTGGTCTCAAACTTAAATTGTCGGCGGGCCGCATGCATGATGTGAAAACAGTTGACGGGCAATAATTTTTTTTAGCAAAAATTAAAATTTTTTATTAACAAAATAAGAGAACAATATTTAAGAAAAGAATAAAAATTCTGAAAGCTTTCAAATTTTATATTACACCCAAAGGTGGTTTTTCATTTATACACACATACATGATTCGAGCGCATTTGAATTAACTACCCCTTATCCTAAAAAATATTTAAAAATAGCATATCTGGTGCCCATATTTCGGTAAAGGACTGCTTTATTCAAAATTTAACGGCTCTAGGTTCCGTTGTTTTTCCCATTGCGAAAACCATACATATATTCATGCAGATTATTATTTAATTTCTTGAAATATGTAATATAGGGCTATAATATTTGGTGGCAACAATTTAAAAAGTGATTGAACGCAAAATGCCGTTTCGAGAGTAACAGCTCTTTGAGCTAACGCTCCCTTGGGCTAATAAGTTTTAAATTTCGCTAAGCACTTTCAAAGTACGCATAAACAATGCACTGATAATACTAATAATATCGCAAAGAAAAAAAAAATGAAACTTGTATTTATTTTTTGTCTGTAATCTAAAATTTGACACCTGCAAGACAATTTTGTTGGTTGCACTTTGCAATTCAAATATGTTGACAGCTAAATATTAAATTTCCAGATTGACATTTGTATAAAATGTTTCTATCGTATTTCAGTTAATAATAAAATAAATTACTTTAATTTAAACTGGAATAAATTTTAAAACATTCTTAACTTTTCAAAGAAAACTTTCCAAATAGGACAAAACTTGAATACATAGCGGCAACTCAGTTTCTTTCTCTTATATATTAAAATTTTTGATACATAAACAAAAATACATACTCTGCTTGTATATATAAATAATTACAAATTTGTTTTACTTCTTACTGTAGTTTGACATTTGATGGCGCTTTGATTATGATAAAACGTGTAGGCTTGGAGGAAAATTATAAGATGTTCATCGGTCAATCGGTTTTTTAGGCACAGGAAATGTGCTAGTTTGAAAATTATTTAAAATTACATGAATGAAATGTATTTTTTGAAAATTTGTTAAAAATTAGACAAAACGAAATGCGCTGTTCTGAAAATTCTTTAAAGGTGGATAACTGAAGCACATTTGTTGAAAATTACTTAAAATTAGACAAATGAAATATGCTACTTGGAAAATTATTTAAAATTAAATAAATGAATGTATTTTTGAAAATTACTTAAAATTAGATAAATGGAACACATTAGTAAATTTTAGAAAATTAAAAAATATTTAGTATAGAATTATAAAGGAAAGTTTTAACAAAAATATTTAAATGTTAATGGAGCTTTATTTGTCTGATGACATCTTAAATCTTAATCTTAATGAAGCTTTATTTGTCAGATATTTTTGACGAGACTTGATTTTGGGTTTTTCAGAGCTCATATTTTATGCTGATGAAAAAGAAATATCATTTGTATCAAATAGAGTAATATTTAAATGAATACTTTTAAAATCTAAGAAATGAATGTCATTACGTATTTTACGCAATTAATTACGTGCGAATAATAAAGCGTTACAGTTGATAAGATGATATATTATGTTAGTGGAAAGCCCGGCGGTCATACGAAATGACCGCTACTTAAGATA